TTACAACTCTATTAGAACGCATAAATGGTGTCATAGCAGGTGTGCACAATGCATGATTATGTTTCTGATAAGACTTACTTATAACCCACTGATCGTTTGTATTTGTTGTTGTAACTACGATTCTAGCCTTGCATCATGTTCTTGTGATTGGCGTATGAGCACGATGACGATCAACATTATTGACTTTTGATACTCGAAACCCTTCTTTTGAACAACAAAATTCTTGTGTCTTCACATTCCCTTCCATGTCAAGCCGTGTTGTTCCCCGACGTACACTAAACCCATGTTCCTGTGCGAATTCCTTGTAAAAGTACCAAGCTTGATCACGTGAAGAGAATAGCTTACCAACCAATATGTCATATTCATCAACATTATGTACTTTATGACATTCCTCGGTTGGCTTAACATTGTCTGCATCAGTATGATACATGGCAAAAATTTTGTTGTGCAATTTCAGTAGTCCCAACAGGAGTTGATGGAGATGTATGTAAGTAAAGATTCATTGAATAACATGTTTCAGCGGTGCTTTCAATAGGATGTGGTATTGGTAGTGGTGGTAGTTGAAGGGTGGGTACAACATTAAATTTGCATGACATATTCAGGTATGTACAATAACTACAGAATTCAATAACTTGAAAGTAATAGTTAAAATTACAATGTAGGTGGTAGAATTAGACTATTTTAATGACAAATAATTATAATGTAATAGGTAAATTGATAATGTAACCAGTATACATATACCGTTTAATTATAAAACAGATTAACATAAAGTATCGACACTATTAGATTTTGTGTCGATACATTTATAACAAGTATCGATCCCAAAATCAAAGAGACCGATAATTATAATGTAATAGGTAAATTTCAAATGTAACCGGTAGAAATATACCGGGTTCATGAGAGAATAGGTCAACATAAAGTATCGACATTTTTTAATTTGTGTCGATACATTTTTCCAAAATGAATAGCAAACGAGGTGTACGCATAAAGTGTCGATACCTTTGTAAAAAGTATCGATCATCGAAACATCGAAATCGATAATTATTATGTAACAGATAAATTTACAATGTAACTGGTTAAAATATACCGGTTAATTAGCAAATAGGTTTACATTATGTATCGACACTCTTTAAATATGTGTCGATACTTTTTTCCAAAATAAAGCACAAACGAGTTGCACGCATAAAATGTCGATACATTTAAAATTGTATCGATCCCGAAAATATCAAAACCGATATACATAATGTAATAGGTCAATTTATAATGTAACCGGTTTAATGAGAAAATATGTCAATATAAGCGCTACCTATTACATTATATAAGCGCTACATAATTTATTATTGTACTTAATAATATTTCCGGTTAAATGCCTATTTTATTATATAAGCGCTACCTAATATGTTATTGTGCTTGATAATATTTTCGGTTAAATGGTATAATATAACCGGTCTAAATTTTAACCGGTCACTTGTTTAACCGGTCACACCGTTTTTTAGCCGTTTTTTAGGCGCCGCACAACAGAACTTCCTATCGGGCTTGGTTGTTTAAAACCAACAACTGTCCAAACGTAACATCCGACCTCTAACGATAATAACAATGACGGTTAAATAGTGTACAAGTACAACTCACTAGTTTTATTTTATTTTTTACATTTACATTAATGCAAGTAAAATCAAAGATAGACCAAACAAATTTTTGAGGGTAAGTATTGGGATGGGCATAGGACATGAACCCGATCGAATCATTTTTTTTAAAAAAATCGGGTTCGGGTCAGATTTAGGTTTATGGTAAAAAATATCTGACTCGACTCGACTTGAAAAAAATATAATTTTATCTTATATATTTAATAATAATTATAATAATACCATATATATATATATATTTCCAATTAAATCATTGTTTTTATTGAATAAAAATAATATTTTATTATTATTTCGGGTCGGATCGAGTTCGGATTTTATCTCGAAAAGTTGGGTCAGGTGAATGATGTAAAATTTTCGGGTCGGGTCGGTTTGGCCGAAACCTGACCCATGCCCATCCCCAGGTAAGTATGTGTTCATTCATAAATTAAATTTTTTATTGTTAATTATTTATTTTATTGACGATGATTATGATGAAATTTTATTTTTGTCAATCTCATTTAAAAATTTTATATTATTAATATATATGTGTCAATCTTCAAAAATATATTTTAATCTCTTACTATACACTAATAATTAAACAAGAACTTTGCGAGTTTGAAATCCACCTTACTAGGACAATACTAGTTATTTGATCATACATATCTACATTTTTTGGTGTTTAAGCTATACCTCAAATTGACTTTTGATATCTCAAGAATTTTTCACTAAAGATATGTGTCTATCGTTTTCAACATTACCCTTTTAGTACCAGGATCGTAATGACAATTAAATTTGATTGTTATGTAACAATTGTCACGCATATAAAATTTCAAAAAAAATTATAATTAAAATTATAATTAATAAACCTCAAAATTCCTCCGTCAATCACCCATCGTCGGTCAATGGCTGTCATCGTTTACACCATTAGAACCGTCTCGTCGCCGCGACCAAAATCCAGTTCTCCACCCATCGTGAAATCGCTTCTATCGTTGTGAATTGTGCAACGAAGGATCACCTGTTTTCTAAAATTTCCTTCGATGTTTTTCGATGATTCTGACAAGTACAGTTGATTGTACATTACACGACTGCCGCCATTAAGTTTCTTACCATACTTAGAAAAAAATTCAGTTGGTGATAACCCTTCATTGTCATGAGATATAGGAGGATTGAAGGTAGAGGGACGATGCGGGGATGATTTTTTTAAAAAAATAACATTTTTATTATTAACAAATAAAAAATTTAAAAATATAATGATATGTACTTAAATTTGTAATAGATAAAACGCCAGACACCTATGCAATAAAAAAAATTTAAGCACAAAAAATTGAGATATGATTTAAGCACCTAAAACATATATTTTTTAAATATTTTTTTAATTTTATATGTATGACACACATCAAATAACGACTAAATTTATTGGTTATTACGATACATACATCTAAAAATATAACGCTAAAAATATTAAATATTTTTAGTAAAAATCAAAATTTAATTTGAAGTATAATGTATTAAGCTTTAAGGGGCTTTTGGTTCATGGAATGTAAGATTACATTTGAGAATAACATTAATGGAATGTAACATTACTATAGGAATATTGTATTACCTTGTTTGGTTTGTTTAGCAGGAATGTAAGATTACAGTGTTTGGTTGGAGGAATATAAGATTACTTGGATGCATATTTTATCAAATTATCTTTGTGATAATTTTTTTTAAAGTTAAACTTTAATATTAATTTATAAATATTTAAATAAAAGTTCATAAAAATATTTTAATCGTTATACTATCTAACTTTTGAGGAGAAATTATATTTAATATATAATTAATATATTAATTTTATATTTTAAATAATGTTCATAAGTATCATATTTATTTATATAAAATAAAAAATAATATTATGGTAGTAAAATATTATTTTAAATAATTACATCTTTACAATAATACTATTTTTTTCATCCCATAAAATTATAAATAGTAAAATATTAAATATTAAAAATCTAAAATCTAAAATATTTTAAATTCTCAAAATTATTAATATTTTAGTAAATCAAACTCTTTGTATATTATTATTATTTGTACAATTTTGAGTAAAGTATAAAAAAAAAATTAGAATGATCATTATAAAAAGAATTTATTAGTTTAAGGGTATTATTGTCAAAAGCGATGAGAATGTAAGATTACGTAAGAATTTGAATTTTAACCAAAAAATACTACTATTGAGAAAATAGTATTTCCAGTACTATAAGATTACGTGAACCAAAAGTAATAGATAAAACGTCATACACCTATTTTTAATAAAAAAAAATTAAGCACCAAAAAGTTGAGATGTGATTTAAGCACCTAAAACATATATTTTTTATATATATTTTTTAAAAATTTTATATGTATGACACACATCAAATAACGACTAAATTTACCGGTTATTACAATACATACATCTAAAAATATTAAATATTTTTAGTAAACATCAAAATTTAATTTGAAGTATAATGTATTAAGCTTTAGGGGCCGTTTGGTTCACGGAATGTAATATTACATTTGGGAACAACATAAATGAAATGTAACATTACTATGAGAATATTATATTACCTTGCTTGGTTTGTTTAGCATGAATATAAGATTACAATGTTTGGTTTGATGAATATAAGATTACTTGGATGAATATAAAATTACTTGGATGCATATTTTACCAAATTATCTTTGAGATATATTTTTTTTAAAGTTAAACTTTAATATTAATTTATAAATATTTGAATAAAAATTCATAAAAATATTTTATTCGTTATACTATCTAACTTTTGAGGAGAAATTATATTTAATATATAATTAATATAATAAATATAATAAATTTATATTTTTAAATAATGTTCATAAGTATCATATTTATTTATATAAAATATAATATAATATAAAAATAATATTATGGTAGTAAAATATTATTTTAAATAATTACATTTTTATAATAATACAATTTTTTTCATCCCATAAAATTAGAAATAGTAAAATATTAAATATTAAAAATACAAAATATTTTAAATTATCAAAATTATTAATATTTTAGTAAATCAAACTCTTTTTATATTATTATTATTTTTATAATTTTGAGTAAAGTATAAAACTAAGAATTTAGAAGTATATTTATAAAAAGAATTCATTAGTTTAAAGGTATTATTGTCTAATGTGGTGGAAATGTAAGATTATATAAGAATTTGAAATTAATAACATTTACACCCTTTTAACTAAAAAATATTATTATTAGAAAAATAGTATTACTGGTAATATAAAATTAAGTGAACTAAACGTGGGAATACAATTTGAAAAAAAAAATTACCCTTAATAATGTAAGATATAATGTAACACTCCACAAACCAAACGCACCATTCAAGAAAATGGGGATCCTTTGTAAAACCGCTTCAATATTTTTCTCTAGGGTTTTTGTCACTCTGAAAAAATTCCAACTCAGTTGCAATGGCGGAATCAATTTGCAGAGCACTAAGAGACGGAGCTCTAGAAGGAGAGCTGGCGCCTGCGCTCACCATAAAAGACTCCGTCGCTTCTCCCTTTGGTGTCCAAGTGCTCGATCACGTGCTTTCTCAGTTCTTCTCCTGCATTTTGGCAGGAAAATCGCCGTCACGGTTCGCTTTCCTTCCTTTTTTCCTCTCTGAAAACCGTTTGATTAACCGTTATTATCTTGAAATTAGGGTAATTGTTTAATTATTTATTTGTAGCAGAGGCCTTATCGTCGTTTCATTTTCCCGGAGTCCATCGTTTTATTTTGAGTTGCTGAAAATAAAAGGAATTAGTGTCGATTCGTCAGATAAAAGGTGAGTAAATTTTGGGTCGAAATTATTTTTATTTTGTTTCTAAATGAAGAAACGGAATTTAATTATTTTTCTGATAAATTAAAGTTATAAATCTTGTTTTGCTTTATTTTCTTCTTTAAAATTGATTTTTTTGGCTACATGTTAGGATTCATATTTTAGATTGTTACAATGATCCTCTTGGTTGGAAGGATCGGTTGGCAGAGACTGGAAACTTCAGGGCTCCTTCTCATGAAGCTTCGATTTTGAGTAGTGCTACTTTTTTCGGGAAGTGAAAAATATGGATAAGTTGTACAATTCAATTATTGAACTTGGAAGAGGTAAATCTTTTTCAAATCCTTTTCAAGTTTGAAAGATCAACATAAGCTTTCAATTGTTTGTTTATCATTTGTGGTTTTTCTTTGAGTTGCTTTGATTGTTTCTTTTGATTGTTTGTAGGACTAGTAGGAGGCGGAAAAATCCGGTTTTCTATTGCCATAGACTCGGTAATCCTCTCTATTGTGTTTGCTAACATTTGATTGAATGAAATTTGAACTTACTTTAACTACTGGCATTTTATCGACAAAGTAGGTGAAAGGAAAAAAATAGTGAAGTATGGACAAAGTCCATATCAGCATGGCGTCCTTGCATGATTATTGATTAGTATTTCTTTCAAAATATTTCGTTCAATATATAGCTGGGAGTTTTTCTAGCTTGCAAAGGAGTACAATCAATAAATTTGAAGGTTTTTTTTGTCTGATGTGCTATTTTTATTAATGCATAGAAACTTCATTAAGTGCCAATATGTGCTGAGAACAATAAATTTTCACCAAGTTTCTATGTGGGAAGTGCTATGTTTTCTTGAGAAGGTGCAGGGAAGATTCCCATCTAATAACAACAAAGTACCAATAAACATAATGATTGATAGGCAATAGGTAGACTTAGTATTGTTAAGGGCAGAATGCGCCGCTCTCTAGGTGCTAGAATTCTTATATTGCCTGAGGTGTGAGGGCCAAAAGGAAAAAGCTTGGTGTAAGTGAAGTAAGGCACAATATATGTGTCTATCTTTATGTTTAAATATTGAGAACTATATGATCCCCTCTTAATGGTAAAGGCACATTAATAAAAGAAAATTTAAAAGACCATCGGTAAGGTGTTCTTTTTGGTGCCTGTTGCTTTTCAAGTATATGCATCCAGACAGTGGCAGATGCATGAAATTCGAATTTCTTTATGTTAGTTGTCCATTTTATTGATGATGTCCACTTTCATACGAAAAATTTATGTTATTAATATATATGTGCCTATCCTCAAAAAATATTTATAGATCCGCCACTGCAGACACACCAAGTGTGGGCATGCCAGATCAAGTGTACTTTACCCTAAAGGCTCTAAGGAGCTTTTATTGTTTGGTGCTACCCTAAAGGCTTTATTGCACTTTTATTGTTTTGTGCTAAGGGACAATGCTTAGGCTACACCTTGACAACACTTGTTGAAGGTTGCAATATTGGTTAATGCTCACTGCTTTGTTCTAAAATGTATTGAATTTTGAGTTGCTGCTCATGCAGATAGAATATCCTAGAACTTAAATAAAAGAAAAAATAGGAAAAAGAAGAAGAAGAAGGAACTTGGATGAGCTGACATTTTTTGGTGTTGTAATAGAATGAGATAAAGAGGTACTATCATGTTTCATTTACTATATGAAAATCTGAAGGTTATGACGCAAGTAGGAAAAAAAAGTAATGTCTATGTTCATTTATTTCTGCATTTCATAATTCGGAGGTCTTCTACGAAGCTGCTCTCAACCTGGTGTTGGGGGCAACCTACTATCTTACCTCCCCCTACCCCATTACATATGGGAACAAGGGACAACCATTTTATTATTTTAAGTGCTCTAGGTTTGGTTAAATAGAAGAATAGATTCCTGTTAGTTGTCAAAAACCTACTACTATGAAATGAGCTTTGAGTTGAGTTTGTGCTGAATTCACAATATTAGAATTTTCAACTCCAATCTTCTGTTGTTTCTTCTATTTCTACCAGGTAGATGAAATGTTGAGACATGCATCTGTGTCGTCAGTTGCACGTCTGTTAAGCAATCTCCGTAGCCATGGTATGTGTATGCTTTTCTGCTATAATCCTTCTCCCTGAAGTTGATCAGTTCTTTGAAATTTCTCAACTTTTCCAGTCATGTGGTTTGTCTTCAGTTCTCTTGGAATTGTGGTTGGTTTTCTATGGCATTTCCCCCTTAAAGTTTTCAGTTATGGCTGCAAATTTCTATGTCAGCACATACCTTTCTCGATTTTAAAAGGACATCTTCATGGATTTTAGTGGAAACTTTTGAAATTGATGAATGGTATAAGTGATACCTGTAGTGGGTCTTTTTGGATTGTTTCTTAATGTTATTTTATGGTTGCAGATCAGATTTCCAGTATCTTTTGGCTATTACATTCAGACCTTCACACGGGCAGAGTTACATCTGTTCTGGAATATTTGTCATCTATGGTGGCGAGTTTAGAACCATCAATTGAACTTGCAAATGGACAGAGAGGTGACATGGAAAATTTCTCTTTGATCGAGCATAACTCCAAGAAGGGAAAGTTCCATGTTAGATTTAAGAAGAGAAATGGACGGGTCCGTGTGATGGTAAATTCCCTTTTCCCTGTGTGTGGACCATTCTGTACTGATTAAGATTGCAGCAGACTGACATGATAATTTTAAACCTATACGTAGTCGGAAGAAGTTCACATTGAGCAGTCAGGCATCAACTTTACATCACTGTCAACTGAAGGAGCAATTAATCATGGTCTTGTACCAAAGGTCATAGCTTAAACTCTCCCTCTCTGCTTTTTCATCTTTCTTTGATGTGTGAGGATACGTAATACCTACAAGAATTCTTTCCTCTGCTCCACAAATTAGCGTTCGCAAGATGCAGAATTATAGTGTCGTAGCCTATTATTCCATGTTCTGGCAGAATCAAGTTTCAGTTTAAGGTTAAGTTTCTTTTACAGGTACAGTTCAATTTGCAATTGTCAGAGAAAGAGCGAATTGATAAGGCTAATGTTGTACTTCCTTTTGAACACCAAGGTAGGAATATGAATGGGTTATAATTTCGTTCTTGAACTTTAGCTTTTATTTGCTTTATCTTGGGGTTCCATTTTTACATCATTTGATGACTTCGTAGCTTTGGGGTCTCTCGCTCTCTCTCTTTCTTTCTTCCTTTCATTTGGATTGACTTTTGCTTGCTTTAGGTAACGGTAAACCGATAGAAATTTATGATGGCCGGAGATCTCTGGTGAATAGCAAACATGAGAGACCAGTTGCTGCAGTGGAAAATGTGCAGACGAACGAGGACTCCAGCTGGGGTGAAATTATTTATTACCGTGATTCGGATGATGAGATGCCTGATTCTGATGAGGACCCAGATGATGACTTGGATATCTAATTGTGCTTACCCAATCTGTGATGTGGGTTATGCACAACATTGCAAATTGGTAGTATTTTTTTTCTCTTTCTTTAACCAGGAACGAGTTAGATCTCTTAGGTACCATCTACATAGAAGTGTATTTTGCCTTTAAAGGTGGGAATTTCGTACTAGTTACAACTGTGAGTCTGTGATATTGAAGTTAACGAGTTGTAGTTTTTTCAAACTTTGTTCTCGTGTTAAGGGAGAGGAATGGGATAGAAAACTTCATTTTGTTCAACTTGAGCATCTTCAAACACTGAAAAGTAGGAAGTTAAGCACAATAATGGAAGCTTGTGCCTGGGAATAGACATCTCGAACCTGTGGGTTAATATTGCCACATACTAAACGGCTACGTCATCATCTGTTAATAATGTAAGACAGATTTGATTAATTTTTGGGATCAAATTGAAAATATGAAAATATTGAGGATTATTTGTTACAATTATAGATTAAATTGATGAACAGTGCCAATTACTAAACGGCCACGTCATAATTTGATAGAAGTTACTGGGTAATATTATGATAATATTAGTTTTTTACGTTTTCTTTTTAAAATGTCATCCAAATCATGTTATTGACCAAAATGACACCCTTTTTACTAAGGTACAGTAGAAGTATTTTGGAAATGTGCGTCTTACTTACGGGATATGTTATTTATATCGTTTTTCTCATATCGATGCCATTTATATAAGGGGCGGATGTACTAAGTGCCTTAGGGGTCAAGTACATCTTCATTATTTAAGAAAAAAAAAGTGAAATTTAGTATAATATGTTAAAAAAATAGAAAAAATAAAATTTTACATCCTATTATTTTTAAGAAAATAAAATCAAAATTTTAGACCCCATTCATAAATTTTTGGATCCGACATTGAATTTTATAGTCAAAATGAAAGAAATGAAGAATAGTGAGTCAAAAATACAAAAATACAAAATTGATTACATGAATTTTATTAAAAAAAATAACGCGCACAATATACGTAGAAGACATATTTACATGAGTCGGTCAGATAATGATGACAATATACAGGTGTAGGTCTTATCTTCAATCACTTTATAACTGCATGTTAGAATCGTATATTTAAAGATTAAAAAAAAACCTTAAATATAAACAATGTGTGGGGGGGGGGGGTGGGGTGGGGGGGAATATCTCATGAACGGCGGGTTAATATACGATTAATATACGGTGTTATCGAATATATTAAAAGATATTTAATAAATTCGGTTTAACGCTATCGAAAATGTTGACTAATAATAATGTAGTAGGTCTAAGTCATGAAGAAATATTAAAAAATTGTGCAACCGGCAAACTTAACTTGTCGGTTCGTGTCGATCCAAATTAAAAATGTATTGATCCACAACGATATAACAGGTAAAACTATGACAAAACCAGTATTGAAATGATAAAACCGGTAAAGCGGTACCGAATATATTTAAAGTGTCGGTACTTTAATATAAAGATCGACACTTTGTTAATTTAAAAGAGAAGCAGTTTTAACGCCTATAAAGTGTCGATACTTTCAAAAAATATATCGATCAACAACGATATAACAGGTAAAAATATGATAAAACTGGTATCAAAATGATGAAACCGGTAAAACGCTACCGGATATATTGAAAGTGTCGAAACTTTATATAAGGATCGACACTTTGTGAATTTAAAAGAGAAGCAATTTTAGCGCCTATAAAGTGTCGATACTTTAAAAAAATGTATCGATCAAACAACGATATAACAGGTAAAAATATGATAAAACCGGTATCAAAATGATAAAAACGGTAAAATGATACCGGATATATTAAAAGTGTCGATACTTTCGTAAGTACGTGTAATAAATTATCGATACTTTCAAAGAAATACGTAATTATTCTTTCGAAAGTATCGACACCTGACATAAAAGTATCGATACTTTTGTATTTGTATCGATTAAATATAAATAACATATCCGAGGAAAATATAAAGGTCATAGCTAAATATCCTCTGAAAATAGATAGAACGGACGAGTTTTTGAAATCGAAGCGTAATTGTTGCTGCATTTCAGAAGGCGTTTCTAAAGCGAAGTTTGTTTGTTTGTTGCTGTAGTCGAATCGAAAAGTATGTTGTCGAAACCTTAATTTTTTATTATTAAAGTAATCGCGATAGGGTTTTTATGTGTTGTTTGGGGTTTTGGAGTAAAGAAGCATTTGGAACCGATTGCAGGTAGAAAGTGATATTCAAGAAAAAATATAAATGTCGATACTTTTATTAAATATTATAGGTAGAAAATGATATTATAGGTTGTATAAATGTGCCGACACATTTTGTAGTGGCCATTCAAATTCTTTTGAAGAAAACCGTTTTACCACAAAAGTAGTTATCTATATTTGTATATTGAATAAAGTGTATGTAACAAAATAATTTGATTTGCGTAAACTGATATATAAAGGCCAGGAAAAATGGAGTCAATGGGTTGGAAAATTGTTGGTGGCGCATATGACTTTGAAATTGAGGCCGAGACTCGAAAGCAACCAAAGGGTGGATATATGTACTTCTAGTAAGTATCAATGTCTTTTTGTTATTATTGTTGAAATGATAATTGGATTAAAGTATCGATAAACTTTAAATTTATTACAAATTTTAAATGTTGACAGTATGGTCGAATGCAAAAGGATGAAGGAAGATGACACACAGAGCGGTTCGGTATGTAAAATGAAATTGACATTGAGTATTTTTTAGTGTTAATGTATTGATTAAGAAACGTTTATGTTTAATATTAGGTGACAAAAGATGTGAGGTCCAAATGGAATTTGATGAGTGATGCTGAAAATGAACCTTACATCACACAATCAAGGAATGATAGTAAAGAATACAAAGAACGGAGGAAAGCACATGAAAATAAGGTATTCATTAAACTTGTAAATACGTTGATACAAAATATATAAGAACTATAACATTATATATTGTTAAAAAATGTAGGAACTTGTAATCCGATCTCGATGTAGAATCCGACCAAATAAGATTATACAATGCCCCCGATTCATCTATCGAGTATGTCATAAAAAACCCGGGATCATCATGTTTCTTATATCAAAGTAGGCAATAAGCGCATTCACATCCCCATCGACGATTTCCTTTGCTTTACCTCTTTGAAGTGCATTGTAGATGTCTTTATGTGTAAATCCAACATTATGATGCCCCCCTGCCTGCTGCGTTAAATAGTTCATTACTTGTGACGTGCCAACACCGACCTCTTTCAATGTTGTTGCCTCATCGATATCAACCTTACTTACAGCTCTATTAGAGCACATAAATGGTGTCATAGCAGGTGTGCACAATGCATGATTATGTTTCTGATCATACTTACTTATAACCCACTGATCGTTTGTATTTGTTGCTGTAACTAAGACTCTAGCCTTACATCATGTTCTTGTGACTGGCGTATGAGCACGTTGACGATCAACATTATTGACTTTTGATCCTCGAAACTCTTCTTTGAAACAACAAAATTCTTGTGTCTTCACATTCCCTTCCACGTCAAGCCGTGTTGTTTCCTTACGTGCACTAAACCCATATTCCCATGCGAATCCCTTGTAAAAGTACCAAGCTTGATCACGTGAACAGAAGAGCTGACCAACCAATCTGTCAGATTCATCAACATTATGTATTTCATGGCATTCCTCGGTTGGCTTAACATTGTCTACATCAGTATGATCCATGGCAAAAATTTTGTTGTGCAAGTTCAGTGGTCCCGGAGTTGATGGAGATATAAACAAATGTTCATTTTGAACATGTTTCAGTCGTGCTGCTTTCAATAGGATGTGGTATTGGTAGTTAAAGGGTGGGTACAACATTAAATTCACAGTACATATTTAGGTATGTACAATAACTACCTAAATATGTGTCAATACATTTTCTACCTAAACATATTGTTAAATTTAAATTATAAATAATATTTTATAAAATATCAAAACAATCAAATAATTTTTTGTGTAAATGAAATTATTAAATTAATATTGTTGGTTGAAAACATGAAACACTATTAAAAAAAATTGAAACATAAATTACATAACTTTAAAAAAAGTATGGATCATTTTTATAAAAAGTATGGACACTTTCAACATATCAAGTAAATTTTACCTTTTTTAAAAGAGAAGAAGTTATATAGTCAATAAAGTGTCGATACTTTATAAAAATGTATCGATCTATAACAATATAACAGGTAAAAATATGACAAAACCGGTCTCGAAATGACAAAACAGGTAAAGCGCTACCGGTTATGTTGAAAGTGTCGATAATTTATTATACGTATCGACACTTTTGGAATTTAAAAGAGAAGAGTTATAGCGCCAATAAAGTGTCGATACTTTATAAAAATGTATCGATCCATAACAATATAACATGTAAAAATATGACAAAACCGGTCTCGAAATGTCAAAACAGGTAAAGCGCTACCGGTTATGTTGAAAGTGTCAATAATTTATTATAAGTATCGACACTTTTGGAATTTAAAAGAGAAGAAGTTATAGCGTCAATAAAGTGTCGATATTTTATAAAAATGTATCGATCCATAACAATATAACAGGTAAAAATATGACAAAATCGGTCTCGAAATGACAAAACAGGTAAAACACTACCGGATATGTTGAAAGTGTCGATAATTTATTATAAGTATCGACACTTTTGGAATTTAAAAGAGAAGAAGTTATAGCGCCAATAAAATGTCGATACTTTATAAAAATGTATCGATCCATAACAATATAACAGGTAAAAATATGACAAAACCGATCTCGAAATGACAAAATAGGTAAAGCGCTACCGGTTATGTTGAAAGTGTCGATAATTTATTATACGTATCGACACTTTTGGAATTTAAAAGAGAAGAGTTATAGCGCCAATAAAGTGTCGATACTTTATAAAAATGTATCGATCCATAACAATATAACAGGTAAAAATATGACAAAACCGGTCTCGAAATGACAAAACAGGTAAAGCGCTACCAAATATGTTGAAAGTGTCGATAATTTATTATAAGTATCGACACTTTTGGAATTAATAAGAGAAGAAGTTATAGCGCTAATAAAGTGTCGATACTTTATAAAAATGTATCGATCCATAATAATATAACATGTAAAAATATGATAAAACCGGTCTATAAATGACAAAAGGTGAACGCATATAGTGTCGATACATTTATAAAAAATATCGATCCAAAAAATATCGAAACTGATAATTATATTGTAATAGGTAAATTTGCAATGTTACCG